TCAGAGCTATGTTTACGTTTGCGTAGCAGTCAGTATGGCTGCGACGTCCCACAATGCAACGTGGATCCCGAGCCCTATTTATATGGGCAGTTCTATACTGCAGTTCTGGACCCTGTAGTGAAAGCATAATAGCCTACTAAATCAATATCTTATGATGATAACCTCAACAATAGGAGAGTCTAACTGATTTACCTTTAGGATCAGTTTGATATTTTACCCTTTCACATTACTCTAACAATAATTTAGGAATTAAGTTTTTTTTTCACTTTAAGCATCTGTATCACAATCACAGATTTCATCTAGATCAGGGTCCTTGGCTTTTGCTTTTTGGCTAACTTACTGGATTACACAATGTGCTACTTCCCATTTTTCTGTGCGAGTTATTTTTGGTTTTTGTGCTTTGAAGAATAAACATTGGCCTCCCTCTGCCCCCCTTGAGAAATTTGGTGTAGAACCACCACTGCTTAGCTTAGGTGTGGAAATGCATTGACATGACAGAGGTGTACTCCACCAATTATTTATATGCAATTCCCATTTAAGCAGGATTTTGCTATAAAATATGTAGGGGACACAGCAAGCACAGGGAAGAAGATGATATGATTAGATGATAGCAAATCTGACCTTCTTAGAACACATGCAAAAACCTTATGTTGGGTGCACACTATTCCAAAGGCTCCATTTCCACTATATAACACGGTGGAGGAAGTGTCATCCTATGGAAATGCCTTTCTACTTTTAGCAGGGACCAATGGGTATAATAACTATACCCACTGGAAGGGGTATAGTTTATATAAAACTATATTTCCATCAGATTCCCATGTGTTGCGTTCAGGCTCTAGTTTCTAATAGGAAAAAAAAAGTTTGAAAAATCTGTTATCACAGAAACTGAACCCCAAAATATATTAACTGTATAATTTGTATCATGAAATAACAAAATCATAGTTTCCACATGAATTTAACGTGTTAAAAAACAAAAAAAAAAACACAAAAAAAAACTGTAACAATCTGTAAAGCAGGAAATCTTCCTGAGATTAACGGTTAAGATGGTTGACAGCGGTTAGTGTTCCACCTGTCATCCAGCTGGGTGAGGTTTAAACCCGTTTTTCCGTCTTCTCCTGACGGCGCTGTCGGTGCTGCTTAAAAGTGAACACAGACTTGTTGGTTTTTAGTCATATCCGTTTCTACTGACCGTGATGAAGCCAAAACAGAACACGTCACAGCTTTTACTCCTTTTCCAACCCGCTTTGTGTGGCGCTTTGTCTAGTGTTTGGCTAGCCTGGACTGACACACACACACACAAAAAAAAAGAGCAATGCATTGATTGTGTGACAGATGGGGTCTCTTTTGTGTGAAATCCTCACCAATATGACCTCCAGCGTCACGCGTAGAGTTGTGCGTACGGGTGGGAGTTGTCTGCTGCCTGATAAACGCATTGTTATGCTGGGGGGATGTTCCATCCTGTAACGCTGCAGACTATGAATGGCCTACAAAGGGAAGAACTGTGTCTTCTGCATAGAAATTAGCACAGAAACCTCCCGGACACCAAGCGGACCTAATTCTGATGTATTAGTAGGTGCAAAAACAAAAAAGCCTACTCATTTCTCGCTGGATGATAACATTTAGCAGGGAATGAGAATCGAATCTCAGGCCGCTGCTTTGTAAGGCTGTTAGCTAGCTATCGGCTAGCAACACTGCTCTTCTGTCTCAGGTATTTGCTACTTCTTATATTTGTACGACTTCTATTGACCTGTTAACCACAAAATACAAATTATTTACAAAAAACAGATTTATATTCCGCTTAAGTTAACTAACGGTGTTTTAAATAGCTGTTTTGTTTGACGCCTTCTTTTTTTCGTGTAGCGACTAGCTTTTTTTTTTTTTTTGCTAGTTAGCTTACGTTATTGTTAGCATGTTAGCGAGTTCACCTTGATGGTATTTGTCGTGTGAACTGTGTTAGCTCCTAGTGTAAATGTTTTACGATAACCTCAGTTATCCCTTCCGTTGCACAAAGTCAGGCCCAACTGACTTTTTATTACAAGCTGGCGACTATGATGCTGATTGCGGAAAGGCTAATGTGCGAGCTTCGAAATGCTAGCATTTTTATGTGCTCGTTGTTATTATGCTTAAAGTTTGGAATTTATTTGGAAATTACCGTTTTTAGTGTTTTGATTCAGAGCAACTTAGTTATGGTTAGGGTCCCTTTTAAATTTGGAGAAGTACAGAATGTGACATGGCTATTTTTTGTGGTTTGAGCAAGTTTGCAAAATGGTGCACAGTCCATTTTCCGCAACTTTTTTGTCCAGCATCAATAAATGTCTTATATTTGTTGCATTCATCTATTAATTCATTTATCTTAAAAAAGAAAAAAAATGGTGCTTTGATTGAAGCAATGTTGTTATAAACCTTCACAAGTCTGCATAGCAGAAGATAATGTTGCCATGGTGATGTTAAATACTGCAGCTGCAGTATCAGTTGCAACACACAAGCACTTACCTTCTCAGTATGTCAAACTCCTGTACGCCAGTAGGGCTGGATATTTTCACCAAAGTCCTGAATTGATTAGAATTTGATTCTAAATCGATTAATTTCGATTTTATCTGTTTTTACAATAATTAAAGTGGTTTAACTGTGTTTCAAAATACTCATGTATTTTTTTTTTTCCTGTCATATTAAATACAAAGTGTAAAGTTGTAAATCGGACAGTTTAAATTTGAGATGGGAACAAAACTGTCTCAAAAGTGCAAACTTGTTTGTGAAAAGTGAAGCCTCACTCGAGCAAGCAGACGTGACACAGCAAACATGCATGAGCTGCATTATCTCCATTGTACAAACCGTATGTGCAGCGTTGT